GTGTAAAGTTTCCTGTATGTTTAGTTATTTGTCAATTTGTTTCATCTGTTGTATTATGTGTAAAGTTTCCTGTATGTTTAGTTATTTGTCAATTTGTTTATCTGTTCTATTATGTGTAAAGTTTAAACCCATCCAATGACACCAAACTGAAGATTTCCACATTAGTAAGTAATGATTCAGCTATGTTAAGTGAGAATATCAGAAGAGCTAGTTTCTCCAGCCAGTTAATTCTCACCTTCTTGTACAATCCTGATCATTAGTCTGACAGTTTGTCCCACTGAACCCGGAAGCACAAGTGCAAGTGTAGCTGTTCATGTAATCATTACAGGTGGCTCCATTCTCGCAGGGAGAGCTGGCACATTCATCGATGTCAGTTTCGCAGTGCTTCCCCCCAAATCCATCGATGCAGATGCATGTATACTCTCCAACTCCATCAAGACAGGTTCCTCCATTCCGGCAGGGAGCTGATATCATCCAAGATCGAAATAAATAGTTTTATACTTCAAATATTAGAGGACTAATATTTATTTTTACATAAAAACAACAAAAACTAAACACATCTAAGGTTTATTGAAGTATTCTTATTACAGTTTAACTTTCTAAAGTCACACTTAGTGAATGCAGAGGCAACAATTTTCTTTTAACGAATAAATAAGTATATTCATAGTAGGTTAATAAATAATATAACGTAATTAGAGAAGAACAATATTTACGATGGTATTAAACTTACAAGATGCGCAATCATCCGTGTTAATTAGACAGTCTCTTCCTTCGTAACCTTTAGCACATGAACACGTGTATGACCCATTGGTGTTGACGCATGTAGCACCATTACGACACGGAGAAGAAATGATACATTCATTGATGTCTTCGTCACAAAGTCTACCTGTAAGTGGTAAGACTTATTAGTGGTTGAAATACAAAATAAACATTCCTTCTTTTGAATCTAAAGTGTAACAAAAACGTTTTGTTATTGTAATAAAGATTTTTACCTAAAATTCAGATGTAAAACAATAAAAGTGTTCAATTTCTGCAGAACTGCAATGTTAAGAAAGTTAAAAGGTCTCGACTTACCTGTATAACCAAGTTCACAGGTGCATGAAAACTCCAAGTAGTTTGAGGATGGGCTACACACTGCTTTGTTTCTGCACATGTTTGGACTGCATGGGTCTAGCTCTGATTCACATTTGTGACCAGTGTACGGGGCCTTACACACACACTTGTAGGCATTGACCAAGTCAATACAAAACCCTCCATTGAGACAGGGACTGCTAGCACAGTCATTGATATTGATTTGACAGTTTTGACCTCTATATCCTGGCAGACAGATACAGGAATAGCCATCAAGGACATCATGGCAGCTACCACCAAATTGACATGGGTTGGACTGGCATTCATCTATGTCCAGCTCACACCGATGACCTCCATATCCTTTAACGACAAAAACACTTTACAGTAATGCATAATCAACAAATTGACAAATAACTAAACATAAGAAAACTTTACACATAATTAAACAAATTGACAAATAACTAAACATATCGAAACTTTACACATAATAAAACAGATGAACAAATTGACAAATAACTAAACATACGGAAACTTTACACATAATAAAACAGATGAACAAATTGACAAATAACTAAACATAAGGAAACTTGACACATAATAAAACAAATAAACAAACTGACAAATAACTAAACATAAGGAAACTTTACACATAATACAACAGATGAACAAATTGATAAATAACTAAACACACAGAAACTTTACACATAATAAAACAGATAAACAAATTGACAAATAACTAAACATACGGAACATAGTATCACTTCAAGTGTTTAATGATACTACAGACCTAGCACAGGACTTAGTAATGTATAACACTTCACCAAATGTTTAATGATACTACAGACCTAGCACAGGACTTAGTAACGTAGTAACACTTGAAGTGTTTAATGATACTACAGACCTAGCACAGGACTAAGTAACTTGCTTTAAACTTGCCAATGTAGTGCTTAGGTCATATTAAACTTGCTTTAAACTTGCCAATTTAGTGTTTAGGTCATATCAAACTTGCTTTAAACTTGCCAATGTAGTGCTTAAGTCATATTAAACTTGCCAATGTAGTGTTCAAGTCATATTAAACTTGCCAATGCAGTGTTTAAGTTATATTAAACTTAACAATGTAGTGTTTAAGTTATATTAAACTTGCCAATGTAGTGTTTAAGTCATACTAAACTTGCCAATGTAGTGTTTAAGTCATATTAAACTTGCCAATGAAGTGCTTACTTTGTGTTAAATAAGTTAAGCACTCACTAATATAGTAACCAAATCGATAAAGTTTTCCCTCAAGTATCTGAATCAGTTAGGTTTGTAATATTTACCACTAAGTCATGTGCTAGGTCTGTAGTATCATTAAACACTGGGTGAAGTGTTACTACATTACTAAGTCCTGTGCTAGGTCTGTAGTATCATTAAACACTGGGTGAAGTGTTACTACATTACTAAGTCTTGTGCTAGGTCTGTAGTATCATTAAACACTTGAAGTGTTACTACATTACTAAGTCCTGTTCTACGTCTGTAGTATCATTAAACACTTGAAGTGTTACTACGTTACTAATTCCTGTTCTACGTCTGTAGTATCATTAAACACTTGAATGTGTTACTACATTACTAATTCCTGTTCTACGTCTGTAGTATCATTAAACACTTGAAGTGTTACTACGTTAATAAGTCCTGTGCTAGGTCTGTAGTATCATTAAACACTTGAAGTGTTACTACATTACTAAGTCCTGTGCTAGGTCTGTAGTATCATTAAACACTGGTTGAAGTGTCACTACATTACTAAGTCCTGTGCTAGGTCTGTAGTATCATTAAACACTGGGTGAAGTGTTACTACATTTCTAAGTCCTGTGCTTGGTCTGTAGTATCATTAAACACTGGGTGAAGTGTTACTACATTTCTAAGTCCTGTGCTAGATCTGTAGTATCATTAAACATTTGGTGAAGTGTTACTACATTACTAAGTCCTGTGCTAGGTCTGTAGTATCATTAAACACTTGAAGTGTTACTACGTTACTTAGTCCTGTGCTAGGTCTGTAGTATCATTAAACACTTGAAGTGTAATTACATTACTAAGTCCTGTGCTAGGTCTGTAGTATCATTAAACACTGGGTGAAGTGTTACTATATTACTAATTCCTGTTCTAGGTCTATAGTATCATTAAACACTTGATGTGTTACTACATT